AGAACTAAATGAAATGGAAAACAATAAAATAATACAAATGATCAACAAAACAAAAAGTTGGTTCTTTGAAAAGATAAACAAAATTGATAGACCTTTTGCTAGATTAACCAAGAATAGAAGAGAAAAGACCCAAATAAGATCAATCAGAAATGAAAAGATATTACAACTGACAGCATAGAAATACAAAACATCATCTGTGAATACTTCAAAAATCCCTATGCACATAAACAAACAAATGTAGGGGAAATGGACTAATTCCTGGAAACACATAAGCTTCCAAGACAAAATCAGAAAGAAATAGAACTGAACACACCAATAATGAGCAGTGATATCAAAGCAGTCATAAAAAATCTTCCAACAAAAATAAAGCCCCAGACCAGATGGATTCACAGCTGAATTCAATGATATGATATGGGCTGTGGGTTTGTCATATATGTCTTTTGTAATTTTGAGATATGTTTCTTCTATGCCTATTTTCTTGGGGGTTTTATCATGAGAAGGTGCTGGATTGTGTTAAATGCTTTTGCAGCATCCATTGAGATGATTGGATGTTACTTTAATACTGCTTAATTTATTTATAAAATGTGACCCATGACCAATCACATTTTTAAGTATTTTCTATTAAAGTTGGTCTTGTATGAGCTTTAACCAATAATGCTATATTTTAAACACTAAATGTTGTTTTTCCATAAAAATCAAAGAAAGAATAATTTAGCTGCTAGATTTCTCTTTCTGATGTTTTCTGGATAGTTAGGGTATTTGAATCCTCCTTACTACAAAAGTAACAAAAGGATAATATTTCTGTAGCTATAAAGCTAGTGGGCAGCTCAAGAAAACTGCATGATTTTTGTTTTCTAAATAGAGAAAAAAATTCTTTCTTCCTGGTTGCTTCTTTATTTGTACTAGATTTATTTTTTGGAAGAAACTACCATCAAATTTTTTCACTTCATCTTAATTGGTCACTTAACTCTGTCATGTATGTTCACATGATACTTTGTGTTCAATTCTTCCCTTAACAACTGTCACATACTGGATCAGATAAATATAAATCTGATAGAATTTGGGCTAATCCACCTAAACTATAAACTGCCTACCCCCAATAATTATTCTCTATTTGATATCAAGTAGTATTAAACCAGTATCTTTAGAAACATTTAAAAGGTTACTAAAACAAGTGCATAGTGGTTTTTCAGAACCTCTTATACTTTGGCCACTTACTCTTTGTTTTTTTTTTATTTTTTTATTTTTTGACAGAGTCTCACTTTGTTGCCCAGGCTAGAGTGAGTGCCATGGCATCAGCCTAGCTCACAGCAACCTCAAACTCCTGGGCTCAAGCGATCCTCCTGCCTCAGCCTCCTCAGTAGCTGGGACTACAGGCATGTGCCACCATGCCTGGCTAATTTTTTCTATATATATTAGTTGGCCAATTAATTTCTTTCTATTTATAGTAGAGATGGGGTCTCACTCTTGCTCAGGCTGGTTTCGAACTCCTGACCTCCAGCAATCCGCCCGCCTCGGCCTCCCAGAGTGCTAGGATTACAGGTGTGAGCCACCACGCCCGGCCTACTTACTCTTTGTTGATAGAATATTCATCTTAGCCAAGTGGGAAGTGGCACACTAACTAGGATGGGTTTAAGTCAGAAGAGATTGATATATACAGTTCTTTTAAATTTATGTCTATCAGCACTAGAATATTCTACTAGGGAGGAAAATGATGAATATTCATCTTGAAACTTATATGATTTTTTAAATTTGTTCCTATATTTTAGAATAACTTAAAAAATCTCATATCAGGGTTAAATGAGCTGTCTAGTTGAATTCCTAGAGAAGCTGAATTCCTAGACAAAAACAGATGCCCATGAGGTAATGCCAAGACATATGGTTAACAGATAAGCCTGTATTGAAAATATTTTTACTCTTGGCAATAATTTTCTGCTGAGATGTGTAACTACAGAAATTTCTATACGAATGCTCCTTAACTTACAATGAGGTCATGTCCTGATAAACCCACTGTAAGCAGAAAATATCGAAAGTTGAAAATGCATTTAATATACCTAACCTATCGAACATCATGACCTACCCTAGTGTACCTTAAATGTGCTCAAATCATTTTCATTAGCCTACAATTAGGAAAAAATCATTTAACATAAGACCTATTTTATAACGAAGTGTTGAATATATCATGTAATTTATTAAACACTGTACTAAATGTGAAAACAGAATGGCTGTATGGGTACTTGAAGTACAATTTCTCCTGAATGTGTTTCACTTTCACACCATCGTGAAGTTGAAATGTTTCAAGTTTAACTATCATAAGTAAAGGACTGTAAATATTCTGAAGATTATTAAATTATACAAAATCTGTATGGGAAATATTAGTTGCTAAAATGAAGCAGGTTAAATATCTATTTCCATTGATTATATAATTTCTAGAAATCTAAACTCATGTGCTAATAGTTCTACAAATTGTTCTTAGCTTCAATTAATGTTCTAGGCATTTATCTGTGGATTCCTTAAATTTATCTCTGCTATTAGTAATGGATAAAGTTCAGGCCATAAACAAACTTGAAAATTTTTGAAAAGGGAGAGAAAATGTATTAATACAAAATATGACTGCATCCCATTAATTTTAAAATACTATTTTGGCTTTGGTTCCTCATTCAAGTCTATTTAGCAAAAAAATATAAGTTGAAATTATGTCGGCAATTACCAGTTGATGTCATTATGTAACCATTCTAATTATGCCTGAGTTGGGCTTAAGTCTATCACTTTCTGGAATGTAGAACTAGAATATTATGGAATGGTTTCCCATGGAAATTTTAAATTTAATAAGAATCCTGAAGATTCAATATATACAGACCTCAATAATTTTTCACTAGGAACTAAAATCAAAAAGCATGTGAGAAACCATGAAACTTCTTATAGAATCTAAATAGGAGCTTTTAAACCTCACCCGAGAAAAGACATAAGTAAAAGTATTCAGGAAACATCTCCATATTTAGAAATATAGTTATGGAAAAACATAAGGGAAATGGTGTAGGCTATGGAGAAGGTTGGACCAAGGTTGGTATCCCAGCTATGCTATTTTACTAACTGCATGGCCTTGGACAAGTTACTAAATATCTTTCCCCCCCCCAGAAGCCTCAAGTAAGTGGGGAATATAACTACCTTTGAATAGCATGATGCATGTCAAAGTATGGAACAGTGCCCAATATCTACTAGATATTAAAACATAGTTGCTTATCTTCCTCTATTTTCTTTTATTAAGTTCATACAAATGAACAAGGCAGGTTTTGTCATGACAATCTAAGGTTCCAGTGTATCTTTTCAGGCACTACATGAAGGTATGGCCTGAGGCCTTTCATGGGATGAAGTGATCTTCTAAGAAAAAAATGAGAAATGGGTGACGCTAGTGGGCACTGTTTAAAGAGCATGTGTTTATTTTGGAGTAAACTTGTCTCTCTGTCCAAGGCAGAATGCAATCTCAAACCCTTTGGGGACATTGGGAATTGAGATCAGTGAAATAACTTGAGTGGAGGTCATCTCACACCCTCCTGAAAGAGAGGACAGTACAACCTTGGATGTAAGAGCCAAGAGTGTAGGGCCGAGCAGAGGAAAAGAGATCTCAGGGGAGTAGCACTTGCCAGTCAGGGGAAGTATCCACTTGATGATTCAGCCCCAGAGCTTGTGCTGCTGGTCATTGTGCCTGGATAACAGCATTCTAACGGAGTTGCAAATATTGGGGGAAAATACCAAAATGGAGGAGGTGATTGGCTAGTGATTGGTATCCTTTATCTGTGCCTAAGTCCTAGGCAATTGGGAAAGAGGAAATACCTTCCATTGCCAGGAATATTATTGCTTTTACATTCAACACTTGAAGATTTATCTGTCAGGAATACTTGTGTTTGTATGTTTGTTTTTTAAGTGGATATATTTTGCTTGGTTCTTGACCAAGTTGCCAACTTAAAGGGAGGGCCTTGGGCTCTTCTTTACATTTTCTTCAGACATTCTTTTGTACCGGAATCTGCATTTCACAGGGTTAGGAGGCAATGCTGAGCTGACAGTCTATGTATTGAGAAATACTTTTTCTGGGTGGTCGGGAGGGTTGGATGGCAAGTCTCAAGGAGGCTTAGATACCATTTGGAAGAGTTTAGAATTTATTCTCAGGGCAATTAGGGGTCATTGAAGATCTTTACATACCATTATAAAAAAAAGCAGCTCTGTTTGGATATATGACTTTTAAAATATATTATTTTCTATGGCTGCTGTAATAAATTACCATAGGAAGCTTAAAAGAACACAAAGTCTCAACCATCTCTGCCTTTCAAACTCTGCTACTACCCTGGGATTATACCCTTTGGATCTAGATGACATCTGGGATTATACCCTTTGGATCTAGATGACATCATCACCTTGCTCTGGAGCTGCCAGACTTCCTCTTGGACTTGATTTATGGTTTTTGACCCTGCCCTGAAGTTTTTTTTTTTTTTTTTTACTTTCCACTCTTCCTCTGGCTCTCTTGTTGCAGTGTGCTGCAATCAATGTATGATAGCACTGAGATGAGGCATGAACTTTCTTAGGAGGACTTATTCTAGTACCTGGGATCTTATACACAAGTGAGAGCTTCAAGTCCTTTGAATGGTATTATAAAAGAAGTAACAGGGAAATAGGCATCAACATCTGTTGTGATGCCTCAGATTCCCCCATAAACTGAGGCTAAGAGCACAGGATTTAGAATTCGACAATTTTGGGTTCCATTCTAGGCTCTTGTGTCTATCAGCTATGGTATCTATCAGTAATGTAAAGTAACCACTTTTAGTCTTAATTTTCTCATTTGTAAATTGGGGATAAAAGATAACCTCAAAGGTTTGTTATGTATATCAAATGAGATAATGAAAATAACCTGTAGTTCAGTGTAGTAAGTGCTCATTTCATGTTTTGTTCTTGGTTCTTCACATCATTAAAGATACAGAGACAAAAAAGAAAACATAAGCTACTGGTATGCTGCATCCAAAGATTTTTATTTGGAGATTTTGAGTTAAGAGAAGATATCAGTTTGCATAGTCACTGACAGAGCCAATGGGATGCAGACGGCGATGTAGGGTCTCATTCGTCTTTAGTGGTTTTCTCAATCCAGGATACATATTTGTAAACATTCGTGTAAATGCCAACGTCTCCTCCCATGAAGTGCCCAACTTCAATCCCCTGGAGCTTGTTTTTGCAGATGACAGTAGCTACAGCCACCTCCTGCCAGAGATCATGAAGAGGTGGAGGGAGAGAGGGAGGGAGGAAGGTGGAGGTAGGAGGGATAAGGGGAGAGGGAGAGGGAGAGGGAGAGAGTGAGATCTTCTCCTCAAAGGAACCTTCTCTAGTCCCCAACTTGGGTGAGGCGTGCCTATAGGCAGCATGCTGGGTCATGAAAAGAGCACTGAATTGGGGGGGACAGGAAGCTTGGGTCCTTTTTCAAGCTTTGCTGTAACTAGCCTTATATGATCTTGAGAAAGTCAGAGAAAAACCTCTCTAGAAATCACATGTAAAATTAGTCAAACTCCATTTTCTGAAATGGTGAAGCCAGTTTCAGCTTGTGAAAAGTTTGGATTTTTTTTAAGCAATGGCTATTTTCACTATTTTATTTGCAGCTATGAAAATGAACACCTACCAAAGTGTATTTAACTAAGGTACTACCTGATGCCCTTTAATGAATAAAGGTACCTTGTAAGGAGAGCCCATTACTGAAGAGACAGGGGTGGCTTTGCAACAGCCTCGTCAAATTCTTAAGAAATTATTTAGAACTCCAAAAAATTTTTTATATTATGATTATATCATGTTTATATAGTGAACTGGGCACATACAAATAAATGAGAGCTGAATATAGAGAAAAAAGTACCCCAAAAATTCGGCTGAATACTTTCACAAATTTCACACATAAGGAGTTCCTGTGGCTTTTTCCTTGTTCGGTTTGTTGGCACTCATTATCAGTCATCACAGGGGCCTCTAGGTTCTGCCGTAAGTCAGGGTGTCTGCCTGAGGAGACAAGGATAAAAGAAAACATCCTGTTGACAATTGTTATTTAATCCTCTTAACCACCACCCTCTATTTCAACAGGTGTATTTTTGTGTGAGCCTGAAGAAAATAAGGAATAAGAAAAAGGGAAAGAATGATCTTGAGCATGGTTATGAGAGTTAATCCTAAGGTTTTTGAAAAAGTAGAGTTTTCTTTCTACGCCATGGCCTATCTTGGAGGAATAAGTGGCCTGAGTCAAGTTCTTGGAAATGTCCTTTACATGTGAGGTGAATGTGAATGGGAAGTAGGACCAATCTAGATTCCTTCCTATGCACTGTGACTCTGACAGTCAGCAGTGGTACGTATGACCTCTATGCAGAGTCAGATGGCCTGGTGGCTCCAGCTGCCAAAGCCTGGCATAGGCAGTGGGGGATTAGACACCCTGGGAAAGAAGGAGCTTTGTTCTTCTGGGCAGGTCTGTTTTTGCCAGACCACTCATAGCAACTCTCTTGAGTCTCCACCCATTCTTCTCTTCTCTCTTCTTTCCTCTTAGGAGGAGATGGATGGTCCTCTTCAAGGATAACTGATGGTCCTTATTTGCTGGGACCATCAGGAGGTACACTCACCATTGTTTTCTTGGCTCCAGTCCAAACCTGAGAGCATGCAGACAGTGCCTGGTCGGACATTGCTGGTGGCAAGGGAAAGGGTCTGGACTTTGTGGTTGAAGGCAGCAGGCTTAGCTAACTTAATGAGCATGAGGTCATCTTGTGGGGAGCTATTGCTGTGGTTCCAGTAGCGGATAATCTTGATAGGGCTAATTGTTTCCTCTGTCCCATCTCTGACTCTGCTCTTGAAATTTCCCAGCATCACTTTCAGATTTCTGGAGAGAGAAGGGGTTGGATATAATCACTATGATAATGATGATCATCATTGTTGCTAAGATACTGAATGTTACAATGTGCCAGGTACTCTGCCAAATGCTTTATCTGGATTATCCCATTTAACTCACAAATCTATGCAGCAGATCCTATTTTTATCCTCATTGTACACATGAAGTAATGGAGGCACATAGGAGTAATTCACTCATTGTCATATAGTAAGTTGGGGGCCCTTAACCACTATGTTTTCATGTAGCATCCTTAATGTAATGAAGAGGAAAATGATGTAGTCAAATAAGTTTCCCTTCTCTCCAGCTCCAGCCTGTCTAGAAGAATAAGATGATCTGAGGTTGGGTATCTATTTGGTTCACTAACTAATGCACTAACAACCCTACTCTACCCTGCTGTGTACCTGTGGAAGGTGATATATGTGACATATGTGACATAAATCAATGAGCTTTCTTGTCCTCTTGCTTCCCATTGGGTTTTGGCCAATAGGAAGCACCAGAAGGAAATTGGAAGAAAAAGAGTGAGGTTGGAGTATTTGTCCTCCCAGCTTTCTTCATGCAGTGTTGCCACAGATTGGCTGTGTCCCTTGACCACAGGTTACAATTCCTATCAAGTAGTCTCTTAGACAGGTCTCTCTCTGTCTCTATCTATCTTCCTTTCTTGAAACCAACCCCTTTAGGCCTAGAGGTGGTCACTGCATTTCCTTAATAGTAACCCAGATGGTATACAGAACTATTCTTTGTGTTTTCCCTTTAATATCTCCATACCCTTACCATTAGTTCCTTTTTCAAATAATTTTCAAAAAATTATTACATATTCAAAAATATGTAATAATTATACATATTATAAGTAAAAAGGGTTGAAAAAACTGATTGGAGACTAAGGGGGAATAATATGTAGCAAAGGGTTCCTCAGCAGAGGCACCATCAACACTTCGGGCTGGACAAGTCTTTATTGTGGGGGACTGCTGTGCACTGTAGGATGTTGAGCAGTGTCTTTGCTCTGGCCTCTTCCCAATAGATGCTGATAGCATTACCTCCTGGTTGTGACAACCAAAAATATCTTCAGATATTGCCAGATGTATCATGGGGAGGAAGTTACCCCTATTTGAGAACCACTGGTGTAGAATGAATGGTTGCTATTTCAGAAGGTGGGGATGCCCAGTACTCACGGTAAGTAGCAGTGAGCTGGGGCCAGTACCCATTGGGCTTTGATGAGGACACCCACACAGGGGTTGAAGTGAGACTTTAGGTATACCAAATAGGGAGCATGATCTTCTTTCTGCACAGATGAGTGAGCAAAGAAAGATGTCCCTGAGAAAATAATGAATATTCTTAATGTATGTTAAAATAAGACAATCAACAATTTCCTATTTGATAGAAATTATGGATGATTTTAAAGAAGTAATCAATTAGCTAGAAAATGTGACTATGTTTGACTTTCTTTCCTAATAAAAATGTAAATTAAATTACATACTATTTTATATAATATTTATAATAATTTCTGTTTAATATTGATAATATGCAATCTAAGAAAGTATAAGGAGAAAGACCCTCATTCACTGCTTGTAAATTGGTTCTATCTTCTTGAAAAGCAATTTAGAAATAGGCTTCAAGAATTATAAATTGTTCTCCCATGTGTGGGGCATAGGCAATATACGTAACCTAAACATTTGTACCCCCATAATATGCTGAAACAAAATTAAAAATTTTTAAAAATTGTAAATTGTTGCACAAGTTGGGATATTTAAAAAATAAAAGAAAAAAAAGGAATTGTAAATTGTAAATTTATAACCAGTGACTTAGTCATTCCAACCTAAGAATCCATTCTAAAGAAAAAGATATAGATATAGACATATCTATATTTTTGTCAGATATAGACAAAGATTATGAATAAGTGTACTCATTTTAGCACTATAATAGCTGAACATCAGAAACATAAATGTCCAATACAATAATATTGGATGTTGAAGTAAAGAAGCACATGAAGGGCCAGGCATGGTGGCTCACACCTGTAATCCTAGAACTCTGGGAGACTGAGGCAGGAAGATCGCTTGAGCTCAGGAGAGACCAGCCTGAGCAAGAGTGAGACCCCGACTCTACTAAAAATAGAAAAATTAGCCAGGTGTCTTGGCATGTGCCTGTGGTCCCAGCTACTTGGGAGTCTGAGGCAGGAGGATTGCTTGAGCCCAGGAGTTTGAGGTTGCTGTGAGCTAGGCTGATGCCACTGCACTCTAGCCAGGGTGACAGAGCAATAGAGTAAGATTCTGTCTCAAAAAGAAAGCACATGAACAAGTGGAACATCATGTATTAAGAGTTATATTTATACAATATATTAAACAGCAAAGAAGATGTTAATAAAGCTTCTTTAAGCTAAAATAGCAATAAAAATATATATAACATAATCCAATTGTCTAAAAACAAATAAAAAATAAGTCATTTAAATGCAAAAATATATATAAAGTATGGAGGAAATTTAAACAAAGTGCTAGCATGTATTAACTAGGGGGTGGGATTATGAATGAAACCTGTTTTTTTCTACTTTTGAACTTTCTAAGGTTTCTAATATAAACATATAATATTTTTATAAATAAATTATTTTTGAAATACCCTGGTGAGTGAAAGGGAGCAAGGCCTCTTGTTTTGGCTGCTCTCAGTACTGTTAATCCTCCCTAAGCCTAGGCTTGTACCTCCCCACACCTTCTCTGTGTGATCACACAGTTAGAAACCCCAAGGGGAACAGGGTAGATGATTAATAAGGGAAAGAGACATTGAGCTCTATACCAGGGCTCTATATCAGGCATTGTTCTATATGCTTTGCATGGATTTATTTAATCTTCACAGTAACCCTATACTGTTGGTAGTAACACCCTCATTTTGAAGAAACTGAAGCACAAAATGATTAATTAACTTGCCCAGTATGTGATACAACCTAGGCAGTCAGGGAGTGGTGAGAAATGCCTCCCCATAAAATTCTGCCATCAGAACTTCATGGAAGGCAGGGCAAAAAAATAGGGCCCCAGTCTTTGATCTTTTGTTTCCAACTTCTCCATCCTCCCCTGCATTCTGAGTCTTTAAAGTTTTAGAAAAGGTCAAAATGTGTTCTCTATTCTTGTGACCACACTGTAACTTACTCAGAGGGTGATGAGGCCCACATTTTTGCATTAGAAGGTGGGGAACACTCACTGTTGAGCATTCTCCGAGGCAGGTGTGTGTGCCTTAACCTACCTCATAGCTTAGCACTAGAAGGCTGGGCTCAGCCTGTCTCAAAAGCCTTTGGATGAAGTCTAAGAGAGGAGACCCCTAATTCTGCTCATGACAGTATTTCTTGACTCTTCTTCTGCACCCTTCACACATCCTGCCTCTGCCTTACCCCATCCTACATTAAGCTATGTGTTACAGAATAGAGTAGGTGGTCTTGGATACATACCAGCAAGAAGACTTAAATAGAAGATAAATTTCATTGGGTCCAGCTCTTTCCCTGTGAGATGTAGAAGATCAGCAGAATTTGGAGCCCTCAGCTCAGTTGTCTTCTCCAGAACACCTGGTGGAATTCAGTGGATATGGTTAGGTATGGGGGCACTCCATGGGATTGGAAAGCAGCTCTGGGCATAAACAGGGAGGGAAGGAGATGACTCCAGATAGACAGATGGAAGACCTTCTCTTCCAGGGAAGGTGGGGAATTGTGCCTCTATTGAGGCCTTTCAAGGAAGGAAAACAAAGTTTAATTCCTTAGACTCCTAGATCCAAGTCCCTCTATCTGCTGCCCCTAGAAGCACATCTGCTTGAAGGTAGTTCAGTTGTCTATGGAAAAGGGAGATCTAGTTTCAGGACTTATCTTCCTCACACAGTTTCTGAGGCCAGGGATGTGGGGGACAGGATTCCCCACCTTAGTTCAGGGAGACAGTGTCCTGGGTTTTGCGCTGAACCCCCTGCTACTTATGCTCTCCCTTGGCCCCTCCCTTCTTTGTTACACTAGCTTCATCTGTGCCTTTGATCACTATTTCATCACTCAATCATCATCACCAATTTGGTCTTTGTTGTCCTGATCAACAGCTTTGAGCTAAGGAAATGTGGAAATGAAAAACATTTCTAGAACAGATATCTTGACAGTTGTGGAATAGCTTACAGTCTAGATGACATTAGGTCTAGGATCTAATATATGTTGGTGACAGTTCAGAAAGCAGTACCTCTAAATGCTTTCTACCTAATGGAAAGATTTCTCAGCTAATAATAGACTATCACAGTCATTCTTGGATAATTAGGAGCATACCCTAATAAGAAAAAGAGCAGTAACAGTGATAGCTACCATTAATAGAGTGCTTCCTGAATCCCAGGCACTGAGCTAAGTTCCTTACAGACTTGTCGGTGGTGATTTTACAACAGGTTAGTCTGAGATGTAAAATTAATTATGTTTTGTATCGCTCTAACCTTTTAAAGTTTCTTAAACTCATAGTCTCATCCCAAATGCCACAACAACCCTAGAAAGAAGAGACGGGGCTGGGCCTGGTAACATTTTTTCTGATCTGTAGGCGGCAGCATGAAGCACAGAGAATTTAAGTGATTTTCCCAGTCACATATGGTGGACAGCTAGAGGTAGCATGTAGGTCTTGTTACTGGATACCCACAGCGTTTCAACCATGTCCACCAGGATTCACCCTGTTAGCCAGCATGGAGCTTGTAAAACTGCATAGTCACTCCCAAAAATTCCTCAAAGTTTGGAATGAAAACCAGACATGGCGTGCACTATTTGGAACCTCATAACAAACACAGAGGTGTGGGCTAGTTTATAAAATGTACTTGAGGTTTGAAGACAGGATGGAGTTGCGGAAGACTCTGTGTGTGTGTGTGTGTGTGTGTGTGTGTGTATTGGGAGGTGGCATTAAAATTAAAATAGGTAGGCCGGGCGCTGTGGCTCACGCCTGTAATCCTAGCTCTAGGGAGGCCGAGGCGGGCGGATTGCTCAAGGTCAGGAGTTCAAAACCAGCCTGAGCAAGAGCGAGACCCCGTCTCTACTATAAATAGAAAGAAATTAATTGGCCAACTGATATATATATATATAAAAAAAAATTAGCCGGGCATGGTGGCGCATGCCTGTAGTCCCAGCTACCTGGGAGGCTGAGGCAGAAGGATCACTCGAGCCCAGGAGTTTGAGGTTGCTGTGAGCTAGGCTGACGCCACGGCACTCACTCTAGCCTGGGCAACAAAGTGAGACTAAACCTAAGGAAAAAAAAAAAAAAAAAAAAAAAAAATTAAAATAGGTAAAGTTAAATAGGTAAAGTTAAAATAGGTAAAAAGTTGAGAAAGAGATATACTTTACTCAGAGGTCGTTTTTCAGAGATCTTTTGGACAGATTATGGGCCAGGAAACAGTTTGTGGCCTGGTTTGGGAGCAGGAGAGCTACGAGCAGAAAATCAGGGTCACTATCTAGAAAAAAATCTCTAAAGTTAACAGATTATCTGGAGGAAGCTGGCTGTGGGGACATGACCTGTCTAAGATTTTCAAACAGGTTATCTCTAGCTCAGACCTCTGGTCCTGCATACATAGCTCCCTCCTGGAAACCATTGTCTGTTTGTCCTCTAGGACCTTGAAATTTAGCATGTTGAAAGTAAACTCCTCATTCCTCCAGCCTTTCAATTTCATTCTTCTGCAATTTTTCCTTATTTTAGGGATAACTCTACCTTTTACCTGTTTGATTTCTTTTTTTTACCCCAAAGTCCATCCTTTCTGGGACCTCTTGAATCCAACCCCATCTTTCCATTCTCTCTACTGTCATTCTACCCAGGCTGTAATCTTGTCTTGCTTGTACCTCTTTCTTATTGCTCAATCTGACATTCTCTTTTTAACACTGAACTGTTTCTTTTCTAAAATGCAGATAAGATCATATGAATCTCCCACTGAAAATTCTTCAGTAATTCCATATTGTCTCAGAATAAAGTTCACCTCCCTAGCATTAGATTAGGGGCCTCCCTCGATGCTCATGATATCATCTCATCCCCTCTTTGCCGCCACCTTCCACCTGCCTACTCCACACACTGTTACTTTCAAGAGCGGAGTTTCTTGTTTTAATACTTATGGACATTGTACTGAAAGCGTCTCTTTGAGAAACTTTTTGTGTGTGTGATATTCAACATTTCCTTATATCTTTGTACTTTTTTTTAAGTTCTTTATCCATTGGTGTCATTAGACATGCCATGTACATATGCGTCCATCTGTCCCTCAGCCTCATTCTACAGAATATCTCAGGTTTGTAGAGACTCTAAATCTATACTTGTATTATCCTCACCATCCTAACTCATTTTTTATTTAAGTAATATCCTTGCTGTATTTTTCCACTAAAATTCAATTATTCTCTTTGAAAGTGGCCACTATAGAGAGGAGAGAGGGGGAGAGCGAGAGGGAGAGAGAGCACATCCCATGTCAGAGAGGACAATTGTAGGGATAAGAACAGATTTAGAGACCTGGAAAGAGTTATTGGTGTTGGTATTGGTTGGGAACTTTATTCGAACAGTGCTTGTTATGAGATATAACCTGTATGAGTGAAGCAATTCTAAGGAGGGTTGGACTGAGTGTGACTGACAGGTATAAAGGAATGGGGAGTCAGTGTCACACAGACTGGTGGAGACAGAGCTGTGCTTCCTCAGAATAGCACAGAAAGGAAGGAGTCAATGGAGGAGGACCAGAGGAGGGGAACACTAGTCACACATGTAAGGAGGACCTAGTGAAAGTAATTGAGAGGCTATGGAAGGCACTTGGAATGAATTTTAACTCCATGGAAGTGATTCTACAGAAGGGTTTCAATTCCTTGGTTAAATATATTCCTGGGTATTTTGTTCTTTCCAATATTGTTGTAAATGGGATTATTTTCTTAATTTCCTTTTTGGATTGCTCATTGCTGCTGTAGAGAAATATGACTGATTCTTGTTTGTTGATCTTGTACCCTGAAATTTTCAATTATTAGCCCTAGTACCTTCTTTGTGGATTCTTTGGAACTGGCATACAATTGTTCATAGTAGTATAATCTTTTTTATTTTCATAAAATCTATTATAATGTCCCCTCTTTCATTTCTGATTATGGCTATTTGATCTTCTTTCTTTTATCTTTGTCAGTGTACCTAAAAATTTGTCAGTTTTGTTTATCTTTCCAAAGAAGCAACTTTGGGTTTCATTGATTTTCTCTATCGGTTTTCTATTCTCTAGTTCATTTTTCTGCACTCTAATTTTATTATTTTCTTCCTTCTGCTTTAGGTTTAGTTTGCTCTACTTTTTATAATTTCTTAATATATAAAGTTATTGATTTAAAATCTTTAACTTTTCAATGTAGGTGTTTACAGCTGTAAATTTCCCTCTGAGCACTGCCTTTACTACATCCCTTAAAGTTTGGGATATTGTATTTTTATTTACATTTATCTCTAAGCATTTTGAACTTCTTCTTTACCTCATTGGTTGTCTGAGAGTATGTTGTGTAATTTCTATTTTTGTGAGTGTTTTGGTTTAAATTCAGTTACTGATTTTTAGTTTCATTCACTATGGTTGTAAAATATACTTAGTATGATTTTATTCTTTCTTAAGTTTATTGGGACTAGTTTTGTGGCTTCACATGTGGTCTATCCTGGAGAATGTTCCATGTATACTTCAGAATAATGTGTATTTTGCTTTTATTGGGTGCAGTGAATGTTTATTGGGCCTAGTTGGTGTATAATATTGTTCAAGTCCTCTAATTTTCTCATTTATATCTTTTGTCTAGACCTTCTATTATTGGAAGTGTACATTGAAGTCATCAATTATTATTGTAGAATTGTCCTTTTTCCCCTTCAATTCTGCCAATATTTGGTTCATATTTTGGGATGATGTTTAGCATATATATTTTTATAATAGTTATGAGTATATCTTCTTGCTGAATTGAGCATTTTATCAATATATAATGTCCTTGTCTCTTTTAAAATTTTTTATTGATACATAATAGATGTACATATTTTTGGGGTACATGTGATAATTTAATACATTAATATAATTTGTAAAGATCAAATCAGTATAATTGGGATATCCATCAGATTAAATATTTGCCTTTTCTTTTTGCTAGAAACATTCAAATTATTTTCTTCTAGCTATTTTGTAAAATATAGTAGATTATTGTAAACTATAGTCACCCTACTGATCTATCAAACACTCAATCTTATTTCTTCTCTCAAACTGTATATTTTATACATATTGATATGTATTGAAAATATATATCAATATATAAATATACAAATATATAATGTCTTTTTTATCTCTTGTCATAGTTTTTGACTTAAGTCTATTTTTTCTGATATTAATGTAGCAACTCCATCTCTCTTTTAGTTACTATTTTCATGGATTATCTTTTTATTAAATGTTCACTTTCAACCTATTTCTGTCTTTGGATATAAAGTTAGTCTCTTATAAATATAGTTGGACCATACTTTAAAAAAAAAAAGTTCATTCTACCAATCTCTGCTTTTTGATTGGAGAGTTTTATCCATTTGTATTTAAAGTAATTACTGATAAAGAGCACTTACTTCTGCCATTTTGTTTTTTGTTTTCTGTTTGTCTTATACCTTTTTCCTCATTTTCTCCATCACTGTCTTCTTTTATTTTTAGTTGATTTGTTTCTTATAGTGAATCATTTGATTCTCTTCTTATTTTCTTTTGTACATTTTTAAAAGTTATTTTCATTGTGGTTACCTAGATGATTATGTTTTCCACCCTAAATTTATAACAAGATGGTTTGAAATGATAAGCAGTTAACTACAATAGTATACACAAACTCTGGTTTATACATTAATAGTTCCAATTCTCTCTTTTATGTTTTTGTTGTCACAAATTACATCTTTATTGTACATTAAAGAAAATAGATATATAATTGTTTTTTATGCATTTATCTTTTAAATTATGTGGAAAATAAAAGGTGGAGTTACAACAATCAAAATACAATAAAACTTGTTTTATATTTCCTGATATACTTATCTTTAGTGGACATCCTTATATACTCACTGACTTCAAGTTCTTGTCTCATGTCCTTTCATTTCAAGCTGAAGGACTCCTTTTAGCATTTCATTTAGGGCAGATCTGCTGTTACGAAACTCCCTTAGCTTTTGCTTATTTTAGAATTTCCAAATTCTCTTCTTTTTTTTGTAGGACTGTTTAACTGAAACAGAATTCTTAGCTAGTAGTTTGTATATTCTAGCACATTAAATATGTTACATGAATGCTTTTTGCCCCATATAATTTTTGATGAAAAATTGGCTATTGATCTTACGAGAATCCTTTGTATATGACAAGTTGCTTTTTTTTTTTCTACTTTCAAGTTTCTCCCTTTGTCTTTTGACTGATTATAATATACCTTTGTGTGGATTCTGTTTCTTCAGTTTGAGTTTGTTGAGCTTCTTTGATGTGTAGATTCATATTTTTGGCACATTTAGGAAATTTTAGGCATTTATTTCTTAAATGTTCCTTCTGCACATTTCTCTTTGTCTTTTTATTCTTGGATTTTTATTATGTGTATGTTCAAGTGCTTGATAATATCCCACAGGTTTCTTCAGTTCTGTTCACTTTTTTTTTTTCTTCTGTTCACTTTTCTTCATTTTTTTTCTTTCTATTCCTCAACCTGGATTACTTCAATTGTCCTATCTTCAAGTTTGCTGATTATTTTTTCAGTGACCTTAAATATGCTGTTGAAACACTTTAATGAATTTGATCTTTTCAGCTATTGTACTTTTTAGTTCTAGAATTTCTCTTTAGTTCCATTTTTACTTTAGTAAATTTTACTAAATTTTACTTTAGTTCAATTTCTACTTTATTGAACAATTATCAGTCTTCATACATCATTTTTTCTGATTTCTTTTAGTTCTTGGTCCATGTTTTCCTTTAGCTTTTTTAGCATATTTAAGATAGTGCTTTCAAATCTTTGTTTATTTGGTCTAATGTCTGGCCTTCTTCAAGTATGGTTTCTGTCAATTAATTTTGTTCTTTTGAGTGGACCATACTTTCTTGTTTCTTTGAATGATTTGTGATTTTTTTGTTGTTGTTGAACACCAGACATTTGGATATTTTAATGTCATTTATAATTAGGGAAGTCAGATTTTCCATCTTCCCTAAAGTTTGTTGTCGTTGTAGTTTTATTATTGAAGGCAGTAGTCATCCACTTGTTTAGTGACTTTTGCACACTATTATTACAAAGACTGATTTCTTTGTCATGTGTGGTCATTGAATTAAGTCTCTGTTTCTTTTGCTGTATTCAGTTAATGTTTTGACAGAGATTACACTATCAGGATCAAGGAACAAAAAACAAAACAAAACTAAACAAAACTCCAAAAACCAACAAACAATGAAAAAATCAAAGCACAAATGAACAAGAAAACAAACAAAAAAGCCAAACACCTCTCCTTGTCTTTGCAGATTGATTTGGTGCTGGGGCACTTTTTCAGTGCTTAGCGAGACCTGAACTGAATCTAGATATAAGTCAAAAGTATAGAGCTAGAATCTTTTAATGTCATTTCTGATAATGTATATTGCCCTGGGTATGTATGTGATTTTCTAAATTCTCCCGGATACATGGATGCTTTTGGGTTCCATAATTTCCCAAATAAACTTTCCCTGACTTTTCCTCTGACACTTTAGATTATCTATTATATGACTCCATAATAATCTCCTGGCCCAGGAGATTGCAGAAATTTTGTTAGGCTTATAGTATTCTTCAGCAATTCCTGACACTTTTTACCTTAAGTGGGTTTTGTGTTAGGTTTTTTTTTTTTTTTTTTTTAAGACTAGTCAAGTGCAGTAGTGAGGAGGGGGGAGTAGTAGAATAAGGAGTTCAATCTGTAACTGACTGTGAACAATCATGTGAGATAACTCACTACCTTCGGACCAGCCAGGGTTTTGTGTTAGATGAACAAGGACAAGGACCTTGTGTCAGGCCTTTAGGTAGCCCATATAGATTAGAATATACACATATAGGAATAACATTTATCGGGTGTCGGGCAGGTGGGATGGGGAGGAGGGGATGGGTATGTACAAACACAACGAGTAAGATGTGCAGCATTTGGGGGATGGACACACTTGAAGCTCTTACTCGAGGGGGGAGGAGGGTCATGGGCAATATACATAACTTTAACACTTGTACCCCCACAATATGCTAAAATAAAAAAATTTTAAAAAAAGAATGTACATACATAATACTTTGTGAATAATGTCTTCCCTGCTCCCTCTAGAATCAAGGACTGGAGTGAACACTGGGGACATTGGATACCATTTTCAAAACAGCTGCTGAGCTGAGGAGGAGGGAGGGCAAAGGTAAGTAAAAACACCAGGCTTTCCTAACATTTTAAAGTTACCTTTTATTTTTTTCAATGAGTGTTTGCTTGGTTGTTGAAAAACTCTGAATGTTTTCCAGAGTTCTGACAAAGGTTGTTCTGACCATTTCAGCTTTTGTTCATTTTTTTCTGTGGAGAGACAGGAGCTTGGAGCTGCCTACTCTACCCTTTTCTCATGTCACCTGCCCATCTCTGCCCTCTTGGTTTTTGTTGTGTATCTTGCAACCTTTTGTGGAATCATCTACTTGGAGGTAGCATAGACTCTGTAGAGCTAAATGGAATTTTGGAGATAAACATAGAAGAGCAGGGGGCTGACTTGAGCTGTTTATGACCAGGATTTTGAGCCTAGAGAAAGATAACCTGAATGTTGAAAAACTCTTGATGAGGGAGAGTTTTGCCCATTACACAAAACTTTTAAGTATTCTAAAACTTGATTAGTCTCAGGAGAGAAGGGCTGACACTTCTTTTGTTATTCCCTAGGGTTTCCCTGAACCAACTTTCCTCAGTGAATAATGTTCTTTAGGGACATGTTATAGAGGGAAAGAAGGAGCAAGAGAGAAAGAAGAAAATAGGCATCCTATGACACTGTGATTTCTAGACTTTTTCCTAAATGCTAGTGCGAAGAGAGGTTTTTCTTTCACCAGAAGTGAAGACAGCAGCAGAGCTTTCCATCTTTAGCACTAATTAGGCATGAGGTAGCCAAGGCCAAGTTCTAGAGAGCCATACAACTTCTCACTTCAGGGTCTTTCCTTGGAGGTGACTGTCTTCATTGGTTACCCTCTGTGAAGGAAAGACTAGGAGAGGATCAGTAAGGGACATTTTAGACCTACCTGTGTGCTAGAACCAGGATGCCAAGATCCTGAAGAGTAAAGCTATGTAATTAGCACAGTGGACAAGAGAGAAAATACTTGGCAGGTAGGGTAGCTTAGGACATTCCACATGGAAGGCAGCAAGTGGTAAAAAACAAACACACTGTGGTCAGGTAGGCAGACAGGGTGGCTTTTCAGAGCCCAGAGAGAGGCAGATGAACTGCACATAGAAAGATGCAGTGGTGCATGCTAGCAGGGTTTGGTTCTCACACCAATGATAGGACATTAGTGACTGGGCTTATCTTCTTGGACACTTCTATTTCCTTCATATATTGTGCATATTTAGAAAAATTAGCACTGATCATGTAAAGAGAATAATAGAACATGTTGTGGATCCTATGAGCAGAAGGGAAATATTTTCTCTACTTGGAACAGTTTCTATTTCTGTCAAGAGGAGAACTGTTATCTCTCTTTTGTTCTCTAGATTTCCGAACAAGAGCTCAGAACTAAATGTTGAGGAATTCCTCTAGTGCCACTGAATTTTTTCTCTTAGGCTTCCCTGGATCCCAGGAAGTACGCCATATCCTTTTTGCTACTTTCTTCTTTTTGTACTCAGTGACAATAATGGGAAATATAGTTATCATTGTCACCGCCTGTGTTGATAAACGCCTGCATTCCCCCATGTACTTCTTCCTTGGCCACCTGTCTGTCCTGGAGATCCTGATCATATCTGTTGCTGTCCCTTTTATGCTCTGGGGGTTGTTGCTTCCAAAGACTCAGAAAATATCTTTGAGTGCATGTGCTGCACAGCTGTATTTGTACCTTTCTTTGGGTACCTCAGAGTTGGCATTAATGGCAGTGATGGCTGTGGACCGTTATGTGGCTGTCTGCAACCCTTTGAGGTACAACATTATTATGAACAGCCGCACCTGCATCTGGGTGGTAGTTGTGTCATGGGTGTTTGGGTTCTTTTCTGAAATCTGGCCAGTCTATGCCACATTTCAGCTTACATTCTGCAAATCAAATCTGTTAGATCATTTTTACTGTGACCGAGGACAATTGCTCAAGCTATCCTGTGATGACACTCTTTTCACAGAGCTTATTCTATTTTTAATGGCTGTTTTTATTATCATTGGTTCTTTGATCCCTACATTTGTCTCCTACACCTACATCATCTCCACCATCCTCAAGATCCCCTCAGCCTCTGGGCGAAGGAAATCTTTCTCCACATGTGCCTCCCACTTCACCTATGTCGTGATCGGCTATGGCAGCTGCTTGTTCTTGTATGTGAAACCCAAGCAAACGCAGGCAGCTGAGTACAACAGGGTGGCATCACTGCTGGTTTTAGTGGTGACTCCTTTTCTGAATCCTTTTATTTTCACTCTCCGCAATGACAAATTCAAACAGGCATTTGGAGACGGCGTGAAACGCTGCTATCAACTGCTCAAGCATTAGCTCTGTCCTGTGGACCATCCTCATCACTGACTTCAGTAATCTGAAGGTACTAATTTAAATCCAAAATAATCATTCTCATGATCAAATATTTGTGATCCAGCAGGAAATTTTTAGATACTGACAGTACTTTAATTTGTAATTGATTGCTTCCTCAATGGCTAATCACTTTATTATCTTTCAATGGATGTATACATTTATGTACTTTTTATAGTTACACAATACATGTTACAAAGGAAATGTGACAAGAATAAATATCCAAAATTGTGGGATTTTTAGAACTATGAATTGAAGATCTATGAATTGGAAAAACAAGAAAAGTGTGATTTGTTTTCTGATGGCTGATGTAGATATTTGATTCTAGGTATCAGGACCATCTTTTCCTATTCAGCTCTGTGGTTTCACGGTGTCTTCTTTTAGTGAAGCTCATTCTTTCTCTTGTGAGTGACCCAGGTCTAGCCTTAGGCTTTCTTTGTGGGTCTTGCCTCCAATGTTTAATTGATAGTACTTCCTTGTGGTCTTTCTTAATTGGAATTTGTGAGAATAAAATCACTCCATCAACCTGACTCCTTAGCAATCTTAGGGCTGGATGTATGTTAATATAGGTACATCTCTAATAATTTCTTAAGCTTTCCATATGTTTAGTGTGATGTTTCTATAATATGTCTGTGTTTTATATTAAAGAGAAATGATTAGGAAATCTTTTTTGTATTCTTCTAATAGTTTTAATTTTTTGGTTTTTATATTTATTTTTAAAACAAGTTATTATTTATTTTGGGGTAGCTAAAAGGTTGGTGGCAGTCTGCAGTCTTTAGAAATCAGAGCCTTGAAAAGATTAAGTGGTAAATGTTTATTTGTGTGTGGGGAGGTACAATCCTAGAATAGCAAAAGTAAATGAGGTGAGACAGGAAAGCAGGGTAAACTATGTAGTGTGATGTGTTCCCACACTGACCAATGTTTCGTGAAGATTAACAGGTGACATGATTGTCTATATAGAAAGCCACTAAGATCCTACCAGCAAGCTCCTGGAAGTAATAAGAGACTTTAGTGAGGCCAAAAGAGACCAGGTGAATATGAAAAAGTGAATTACTCATAAATTTATTAATGAATGCCAATTTTTATAGCTCCAATAAATGTGAAGCACTTAGGTATGACTCTAACACAATATGTTCAAGATCTTAGGAGATAACTCACCATGAAAGTAATCAAAAATATCCAAATAAATGGAGAGATATACCATACTCGTGGAATGGAAGACTCAATGTTGTTCAGATGTTAATTTCATTGTGTATATTCAGTGCAGTCCCATCCAGATTTCAGCAAGCTTTTATGATATTCACAAAATGATTCTAAAATTTATAAAGAGAAGTAAAGGCAATAAAATAACCAAAATAATTTTGAAATAGTAAAGCAAAGTCAGAATACTCACATTACCCAATTTTAAGATTTTCCATAAAGTTATCATGATCAAGACACTGTGGTATTGGAAAAATGATAGACATAGAGATTAATGGATGATGATAGAAAGCCAAGAGGTAGACATAAACAACTATTGTTAACTTCTTTTCGAAAAAATTGCAAAGGAAATTCAACAAAGAAGGGTTAATATTTTCAAAAATTAGTGCTAGAACAGTTGAATGTTTATATGTAGTAATATGAATGTCAACATATACCTTGTACCTTCTACAAAAATTAACTATTAATAAAATGACCTAAATGAAAATGTACAACTGTGAAATAATCTAGTAGAAAATCTGCATGACCTTGAGTATGGTGGTTAGTTTTTAGATACAACACTAAAATCACAATTCATGAAAGAAGAAATTGAAGAACTGAACTTTGTCAAAATTAAAAACTTACTTTACAAATGTCGCTGTGAAGAGAATGAACAGTTAAGGCACATACTGGAAGAAAATATTTGAAAATCTCATATCTGATAAAGAACTTGATCCCAAATATATATATATATAAGGCTCTGGAAATTCAGTATTGAGAAAATCAACAGCTCGATAAAAAACTGGAAAAGACTTGAATTCATACATCCTAAAGTAGATATAAAGGCTAGGCATTGAGGCTTACACCTGTAATCCCAGTATTTTGGGAGGCTGAGGCAGGAGGATCCATTGAGGCCAGGTGTTTGAATCCACAACAAGACCCTGTCTCTACAAAACATAGAAGTGTAAAAATTAGCCAGATATGGTGGCACATGGCTGTAATCCCAGCTATTTGGAAAGCTTAGGTGTAAGGACTGCTTGAGTCCAGAAGTCCAAGCTGTGATTGTGCCACTGCTACTTAGCCTGGGCAACTGATCAAGATATTGTATCAAAAAAAGAACATAGAAAAGAATAAAGAATAGAAAAGAATAAAGAAGACATTAGGATGGTAAGTTGGCATATAGAAAGATGCTTAACATCATTTCTTATTAGGAAACACAAATGAAAACAACAATGATATACCACTATTCCAGTATTAGAATAGCCAAATTAAAAAAAAAGTCAATTTATTCCAAATGTTGGAAAGACACTGAACATCATAAACTCTAATCTATTGCTGCTTGAAATGCAAAATGTAGGTCACTTGGGAAGATATTCTGGATGTTTCTTACAAAGGTAAACGTAGATTTCGCATACAGCCTAGCAATTGGGCTTGCAAGGTATTTACACAAGTGAAGTGAAAATTTACCTCCACAGAAAACCTGTACATGACTTTTTATAAAAGATTTGTTCATAATTCCCAACAATTGGAAGCAACAAAAATGCCCTTCTGTAGGTGAATGGATAAACATTTTAGATCTGTTCATACAATGTGAATACTATTCAGTGATAAGAAGGAATGAGCTAACAATACACATAACAAAATGGATAAATCTCATCTGCATTTTATTAAGAAAAAGAAATGATAATGAGGCTACATAGTGTATGATTAAATTCTAATGACATTCTGTAACAATGGAAAAACTAATAGAGATGAAAGAAATAAGTAACCACTGACCTCAATCTGTTAAGTAAGGGGCAGTATTTGACTTGGGTAATATAGGGGGATATTTAGGTGATGGAACTAATCTGTATGATAATGTCAGATGCATAATGCATTTGTCATACTCAGATATTTATAGGAGAAAAATAAACTTTAATGGATACATTTCTTAAAAATATCAAAAAAGAAGTTCAGGAATCTTAAGGTAGAATGCAGACAGAAAGAAATCCTTGTTTATATAACTTCATTGAGGAGGGTGAGGGGAGAAAGGAACTGAATTAAGGAAGTACAGTGTTTTGACTGAAAATTATAAGACTAAAAGAAAAAGAACTATACATAACCACTGCACAGTCATTGTTAATATTGCTTCTCATGGAGGAAAACGTTAACATTTTTGAAATTGCTGTACATATATGTTGGGTTTGAACAAGTCAAGAAAGAATGGTGGATAGTGAAAGCCTGGTATCTAACTAAGAAGAGATGCTACAGAGGGACAGGACGAGAAAGGTAGAATGCAACATATAGTGCTGGATTAGAGTTGGAGACATCAGCCTGAGCTCATGTTTAACTTAATATAGATACAGATGGGTAGTTCTGGAAATAATTATCGATATATGTATATTGGGCTAGTGTTTATATATATAGTTTCTGTCTCTGTCTGCTGAGAGGGTCTGGAAGCAGTAATTGTATATCTTGTGTTGGATTCCTGTTTTGTAGTAACATTGTTCAATAACATGAATCTAGGCTCTGTGGAGCTGATCAGAGTCTGAGCAAGAAATATCAAAATAAGGCCATAGCATCTTGTAATGCCAAACAGTGTGGAAATACTCCTAAAAAACAAAAGGGTGGGGCATATCAAAGGGATGCAGGATGCAGCCTGAAAGAGCCACTGTCTTAGTTCCTTTGGGCTGCTATAGTAGGATACCATGGACTGGGTGGCTTATAAACAACAGAAATTTACTTATTTTACTTATAGAAGCTGGGAAGTCCAAGATCAAGGCACTGACAGACTTGGTATCTGATGATGATCTACTTCCTGGGTGACAGATTGTTGTCCTTTTGCTGTAATCTCACATGGCAGAGGAGCAAGACCAGTCTCTAGAATTATTTTTTTTTATAAAGGTGCTAATTTCATTCATGAGGGCTCAACCATCATAATCTAATCATCTCCAAAAATTTCCACCTTTAAATACTACCATGTTGTGGGCTATGTTTCAACAAATGCATTTTGGGGGACACAAATATTTAGTTTATAACAGCTTCCAATGGCCAAAGATGAAACAAGTTTGACTAAGAAATTAAACAATGTAGTTTGGAGTATAGCCTATAATAAAATACTGATATTTTATAAATATGATATAAATACATGATTATATAAATAAACCTAATAAAGAAATTACTTGGTTCTTCTATTTCAGAAATGCCTTGTCTATTTTATTACCCTTTATGTATTTATTTTTCCAAATAAATATTAGAATCATTTTGTAGATGCCTATAAAAAAGCTTACTGAGATTTTCACTGGGAATATATTGAAGCTTTAGATCAAATTGTTTTAAAACCTCAAAAAAAGGGACTCTTTCAATTCATGTATCATTTTAATTATTTTTCTGACCACATGCTTGAGTGGCAGCTCTTTTGTGGTAGGAGGTTTATTCCTCATCCTTCCTGTCTCACATACATGTTCTTAATGTCTCATGTCAAATGTAGACATATTTGTCTCTCCTCTGAGGTATTAGGCTTGCTCCTAAGACTTCCATAAGTGTGCACCAGTGCCTTTATTTTCACATCTTATATCTCTCTATTGCCATGATACCATTGTACAAACTGTCTAATAGGCTTTATTTTATTTATTTATTTTTTTTTGAGACAGAGTCTCACTCTGTTGCCCAGGCTAGAGTGAGTGCTGTGGCATCAGCCTAGCTCACAGCAACCTCAAACTCCTGGGCTCAAGCAATCCTACTGCCTCAGCCTCCCAACTAGCTGGGACTACAGGCATGCGCCACCATGGCTGGCTAATTTTTTCTATATATATTAGTTGGCCAATTAATTTCTTTCTATTTATAGTAGAGATGGGTCTCACTCTTACTCAGGCTGATTTCAAACTCCTGACCTTGAGTGATCCACCCACCTTGGCCTCCCAGAGTGCTAGGATTACAGGCGTGAGCCACCGCGCCCGGCCTGTCCAATAGGCTTTG